GGAGGAGGAGGAGAAGGAGGAGGAGAGTAGAGCAGCAGCACCAGGATTGCACAGGTCGTGGGCCTGGGGGGTCAAGCATCTAAATTGGATTGGAGCGAGACAGAAAAGGGACGGGGGGAGAAGAGAGGCGAGGGGGGAAACAAGCGAAGATGGGGCCAAACAAAGTAGGAAACGTGGCTGATCTGAAGATGTGGGGGGTTGAAAAGAACAGGGGGAGTGGAAAAGCATTATGGTCTGGGTAGCAAGAACAATTTGTTGAATTAAGATCGGAAAATTGAAAAGGCCACATGAGTGTGTGTGACCCCATGCTTCCATTAGCGAGGAACTTGCACGGTTTCTTCAGTCAACATTGCAAGAACTGCTAGCCTTCTAGTCTGCGGAACCTTGTAGGTGCACACATCGTATCCAGTGCATTCGTGACCTTCCTCCTACTTGTAGCTGTCGTTTGCAGCCCGAGGACACTCTCCAGACTGTCTACAGCCTGGCGACTGTTCTGGAGGCTCAGGGTCAAGGGTTTTGGGCCCAGCTCGCTGTTCCGAGAAGCAGCCAGCCTCGACGCTGCAAGAAGGGGTTTCGTCGGGGAAGCCAGGGAGCCAGCTGGCCTCTGCCCGATGCCCTTCCTAGAGGTTTCAAGGCGCCTCGATCATTCTGAGGCTCTTTGTGTTTCGGGCGCTTGTTCGCGAAAGACTGCTCATGTTTGGGTTCTTATTGGAATTTCATCAGCCTGCAAAACGAGGCACCTCCGCCACTGACGGTTGATAGTTGCATGCCGCCATGCTCTCTCTTCACCGCAGCCACGTCAGTTTAAAGCTGTGTGGTCAGGACCTAGCATGCTGGACCGAAGCAGCTACATGCAAGCTGGGAAGTTTGACATCAAGCTGGAATTGCTTTGGCATTCTGAAAGATGGTTTTAGGCTAGGCTACACATTGGAAGCTGCCTGGGAAGTGTTTGGGTTCGTGTTTCCAGTGCGTGTGTGACCTAGATCTTGTGATGGTTTTAACGCTGTACTGATTTTTGGGTGTCGCACCGCCCTCGTTTCAAACTGCCATACCTTTGCTCGAGCCTTGTGACTCGCAATGCCGGCGCCGACGATTCAGGCGAATGACCCAGCTCTTGTGGAGTTTTTGGAGGCCTGCCATGTGGTAGGCTCGTGCACACACATACCGCTCAGTAATTTGATAGTTTGGGATGTGTTATACTCATAGTGTTGTTCCCATGAAGTTTTGAGCATTGGCGATGCGTTCTCGTCTGCACCTGAAGAGTTTCTCGGTTGAAGAATGGAAGCGTCCCAGCCGTCCCTGTTACAGGCAATATCGAAGGAGCAAGAGCTCATTTTGTCGCCGCTTGGCGCCCGTTCTCTGCTCTCCCACTCAGACATGTTCTACCGTTCCTTTGCCCTTGGCCGTGGAACAATATACCGCACAATAACGCTATGGTGCATAGGACGAGCCATACCATCGCGTTCATAAAACCTCGTAGCATCCAAGCCTCATTCCTACATGCCATAGTGCAACAATGTAGCATAAACAGTAGTATTGCAGTATACTTGATGCTGCCTTGTTTTCCATACTGCATATATATATATATACACATGTATGTATGTACGTATGTATGTATGTATGTATGTATGTATGTATGTATCTGTATGTATGTATGTATGTATGTATGAATGTAATGTATGTATGTATGTATGTATGTATGTATGTATGTATGTATGTATGTATGCATGTATGTATGTAATGTATGTATGTATGTATGTATGTATGTATGTATGTATGTATGTATGTGCATTCGAGAGCTTACACCCTAAAACAAGGTATGGCGAGCGATAGTCTTGAGGGGCTTGCTGAAAGAAACCAGACGTTAACGCCTCGGTGTGGGACACCTGAACCCTACACTTGAGCAATGCTCCTGAATGACACAGGTATCCTTACCATGATTTGACGCATGCCATAAATCCTAAACTCAGACCCTAAGCCTTAAACCGAATATATTCCTTCATAAAGGTGGACACAAGGACGCCTTCGTTGAGTTGTCGGGGGCTTGTAAATCTAAAACTCGCACCCCAATGCAACATAGAGGCCCGACTGAAATAGACTGGGTTTGCCGTCGAGTGCACTTACGAGGAGGGGCTAGTGTTACGATTTTTTCGACCTCCATATTTCGATTTAGAAATGGGGTCCCCAAAGCCCAAACCAGAAGGGTCAATAACTAGGAAATCTATAAGGGTCCGATAGAGTTGCTGCAAGGGTTAGAACTACGTACTTGGGTTTAAGACTGTAGTTTTGTAGATTCGTTTCTGGGGGAGTATCTAATATGATTATTAGATACTTGCAGCCTTGGAGGGTTTCGGGTTTAGGGTTTAGGGCCCTAAACCCTAAACCCTAAACCCTAAACCCTAACCAAATGACTAAATTCTCCAAGCAGCATTCTCTGCGATCGAGCCAGCACGGTTCCCGTGCTCGGAGGCTTTGAACTTCCTTAGGCCCCTAAGCCCTAAGGCCTAAACCCTAAACCCGAGCCTTCGGCTGCAACGCCGCATGGAAGGCAGAGGGTTCAGGCGTTAAGGGTGCTGTGTCAGGTTTAAACGGACTCTTTACGGCTTCTACACCCTAAACCCTAAACCCTAAACCTGGGTGCAAATAATTCTCGTACATTTTACCTAGCGGCTATCAGGGAATATTGCTACAAACTACTCACAGCTCTACAGTGAGGGTCTAGATTTGCAGTGTGGGTTAGCGAAACAGGCTCTAGGCAAGCTTCGGGCTGTGGCCCAAAACGAGACTGAACACAAACCCTATACCCCAAACCCCTAAACCCCTTACTACTACAAACCCTAAGCCCTAAACCCGAAACTCGAACCCCTAAGCCCTATACCCTAAACCTCAAACTCGAAACCTTAACACCCTACAGCCCCGAAAACCCGAAACCAACCCTAAACCCTAAACCCGGATCATCAGCCCCGAAACGTTTTGTCCCCTCAGCTCCTCAACACCAGTATTTAGAATAGGCCTTTGGTGTGTGTTAGGGTTTAGGGTTTAGCGTTTAGTATAGGGTTTTGGGGTGTGTTAGGGTTTGGGGTTTAGTGTCGGGTTTTGGGGTGTAGTATACGAAACTATACCACCAAAGGCCGACCCCTATGTTACCCTGAAGCATTTCCCCCAAACTGCATTGTTCAGGGTTTAAGGGACCTCCCAATCCGAAAAAACACACACCAAACGGTCAGAGCTACAGTAGGATTCTGGAGTTCAGGCTTTATAGGGCTACCCCCTAGGGGTCAACCCCTGAAGCCTACGAACATTTAGGGTTTAGGGTTTAGGGATAAAAAAACTCTAGACCATCTGACACGCTTGCCGGCGATCGGCTTCCCATCTTCCGTCCTCTCCATGCCAAGCCGTTCCTTGGGCTTAGCTTATCGAGTGGAAGATAAGAGTCGGAATAACTAGCGGTAATTTCCCACTTGTAGTTCTTAATATTTAGGGCTTATGGTTTAGGGTTTAGGGTTTAGGGTTTAGGGTTTAGGGTTTATAACAAGTATTGCAAAGATATCATCAACAAGTCCTTAAACATGACGATGTTGGTATAATACGCAATTACTAACCATACTATCAAGATCCATTACGGCCACTATATTACGTGGCATCTGCATGGCTTAAAGGAGGAAGGCTAGGCTCAGCTGAAAAGGTGCTCTGCTCATTATCATAACTCCGAACGTCTGCGGGATCCAAAGTGGAACACCCCAACAGGCACGATACCATGAGTGAAGTATTCCGAAGCAAGGCTTTTCTTCCATCCTTGCAACCGTTGAAGTAATGTAGCTTCCGGTGATCCTGACATAAAACCCACTGCGCTACTTATAGTACGCCGAAAGCCCTATGACTACCCGTGCCCCTTCGAGTAGGATTGCAGATGGAGGAGCTAAGGCATTGGCTGTGCGGTTCAGGGCAAGATGGCTTCCTGTTCAGCGCTTAAGTAGGGCCACCAACCCCTAAACCCCAAACTAAACCCTAAAGCCTTAAGCATTAAACTTTTAACCCTGAGCCACTAAACCCTACACTCTAAACTCGCTCAACCCGGAAGCCATGGAATTTAAACTCTCAACCAAGAAAACCTAAACCCCTAACTCCTAGCCCTGAACACCGAAATCCAAAATTTCAAACCCCAAACCCGTAAGCCCTAAACTTTAAAGCCCAAACCCCAAAACCAAAGACTGCTGAGCCCTGGCTTCGCTCGAAAGTTGCTGGCCTGACGCTTAAAGGGTTTAGCACGTGTGTCGCACACGCCTGTTCTGTGCCGTATTCCAGGAGACGCCACGACCTCCAGTGCTCTGCCTCGTGCCAGCGATCTCGCTCCTTGTGCCAATATCGGCGCTCATCGATGCATGTCTCCACTGGAATGAGTTCTTCGCTGTCAGAATCCGGGTCAGCGCTAAACGCGCGATGGTGCAGGAGCCGTGGGCCAGTTCGACGAGGAGATGCCGGCCTGTTCTGTACGGCCACAGACTCCCAAAAGTCAACTCGACTCCCTACAAGTCCTTTCCCTGCCCCATCCTCTTCAACCTCCTCATCCATCAGGCCAGCCTTGTGCACGGGGTTTAGGGTTTAGGGCTCAGGGTTTAGGGCTTAGGCTTTAGGGCTTCGGGTTTGGGGCTTAGGGTTTGGGGCTTCAGGTTGAATCCTAAAGCCTGAAGCCTAAACCTCCCTCAACCTTGACGGATTTGGGGGATTTGGGCATGCTTTGTTCGGCCTTTTGGGCTTTTGGGGTCAGGATTTCATGAGTGCTCTCTTGAAATGTGAGCCGGACTTCCTCCGGCAGGATCGGTGTAGGGTTGAGGGTTTAGAAAGCCTAAACCCTAAACCCTGAACCCTAAACCCTGAACCCTTCACCCTAAACCCTCAAGGGTTTTCTGGGTGTCGGGGCGAAAGCACGGCTCGGACGGGATCTTCCCGTGGTTCATTCGTGTTTAGGCCTTGGGTTTCAGGTCCCCAAAACATGGCATTGGCATAGCAGCACAAGCATATCGGGACCAGACACCCAAAGGGTCCAAAGGACCCGAGAATTAGGTACTGAGGTTTCGGGTAGTAGTTGTGTAGGTTACT